TATTTGAGCCCGACGGTTTCAACGATTCGAAGGTTTCGAGATCGATGAATGATTCAGTCTTTAGTTTTCGGAGAAGGTTCGTTAGTTTTTGTTCAGTTTGTTCCGTCATGTTCTTTTCCTTTGCTGGTTTTATGAATTTAGATTCGTCGGATAGGATGGTCAGCATTTTACTTACGTAGTCTTCACGATTCATGACTACGATTCCCCCACCTTTATCCGGGCGTAACAGAATAATCTCTTTGTTGTTTATTAATTCCTTGAGCTCTTTATAGTGTTTTTTGGTCAGTATTGACTTTCCATTTGGTTTGGTATTCATAAATTTATGGCAACTGTCGAGTACTACCGACCTGAACTGTTGCAGGCTCTCTTCGGAAGTTGGTGATAGATCATGTGTTTGGTTTATCAGGTTTTCGAACTGGACTTGGGATTGAAGTTTTTGGATTTTTGATGGTTTTGTGCAGAACTTTGGACCGAGGGACAGTGCTTCTAGTTGAAGTTCTGACAGCTCAATGTTTGACAGGTTAAATACGTATTTTTCTGGATTGCTTGGGAATGGACGTTCAGGGTCACTCGTCGGCTTCAGGCTTTTAATAAGGTTTGACTTGGCATTCTCACATTGTTTCTGTGCAACTTCTTCGACATATTCTTCGAACGATTGGCGTAGTTCTTGGTCTAAATCGTGAACTGCGTGAGCTCGTAAGTCAACATTTCGTTCTAGTTCAGGGATACGTGATTGGATGGAGTCAATGTTGTTTAGTGTGTGTCGCCTGAGCGTTCTGGTATTCGGATGGATGTGGTTTCGTCTGAGGGACTTCCAGTACATCTTTGGATATTCGTGCCGATCTAAACATTCTCTCAAGAACTGAATCTCTGCCTTCGCTACTGCAAGCTTGACGGAGTAACGCAGGAAACGGTCCAGCTCCTTCACCGTCACTGGGTCCTTGCAACGTTTCAGTAGCTTGAAAATTCCCATTCAGTCATAGAAAAGAAAAAGTGTTCAGCAAAGAGTTACTCTTTTCGGCGATATCATTCTCAAGCTGTACAAATCGCAAATTTATAGTAATTTGTCTTGGCAACAAAAGGAATATTTCCAAAGATGTGTTAATGCAATTGTTAGTTTTTGACAAACAAATTACGTAATTTTGAAGGCGTTAATCGGTTAGAAACTAAAATAAAGTTACAAAAGTAGGTTGGGTGACGTAATCTAATTGGTAGGGTTCAATGAAAAAATGAATGAGAGTCAAGTTAATAATCTGAGTAGAATTCACTTGAAAATGAATGAGAGTTAAGTTAATAAGCTGAGTAGAATTCACTTAAAAATAAACGAAAATCGAGTTAGCAACAGTCGTCATGAGCGTAGAGATTTAATAGAGGGTGAGGGTAGAAAATAATGCAATTAAGAAATAGACAAACAAAGAAGAAAGAGGTAAGACAAAATTACGTATTTGGTGTTAAGATAGATCAGGACCATTGTAGATTTAGTGACTGAACAAACTTCTTTTGTATGCAGAGTTCAGGATTCAATATGTGAATTGCCATTGCTTCTGCAGTTTGAAGAAGTTTAATTCGTACTCTTTTGGCAAGATTTCCACGTATTGTGTAGATAACTGAGAAGTTGTTTTGTGGGTTTGCTTGGTGTCCGGATTCGATCAAGTGTTCTAGGATAGAGCTGTGGCGGGGGGATCTTCTTTCTCCTTTATAAAACCATGAAGGTAAGTGTTCGCTGATTCGTTTGGATAGCAAACGCTGGGTACGGCCGACATACCTAGCTCCACATGAGCAGGTGAATTGGTAGATGCACATTGATGAGGCCCCCAGTGGAAGCTTATCCTTCACGTTCGTGCGAATCATTGGTTTCGTAGAGAAAGTTAGTCTGAGTTCCGCTGCGAAGAAGGTTTTCTTCAGTGAACGGCACAGGCGGTTTCTAAGTATTTCTGCTGAAGAATCTCCGTTGAATTGTAGATTCAAATAGAGAAGTTTCTTGGGAGCAGTAAGCATGGATGGTTTTTGTGTTTTCGGCTTCATAGCTTTTGTGATGAAACGTTCCGGGTAACCGTTTTCAAGAAGGATTCTTTTCAGGGTCTTCAGCTCTTCTTCTATAGTTTCCGGACTGCAAATGTTGTGGATTCTGTGAGTCAGTGAGCGGATCAGATTTCGTTTTGTATATATAGGCACCCAACTGTGAAAGCTGATGAGTTGTCCATTCCATGTCGGTTTTCTGTGAATGGATCTTTTGAGTGTCCCATCTTGTTCGCGTCTTGCTAGTTGCACGTCCAGAAAAGATATTGTTGCGTTGGACTCCTTCTCTAGTGTGAACTGGATTGCTGGATGGCAACTGTTGAAGAAGTCCAATATGTTCTCCAAATTTTCCTCATTATTGGCGATAATAAAAGTATCGTCCACGTATCTCTTGTAGAATCCGAAGTTATCTATTATCTTCTTTAGGTGTGTATTTTCTAGTTTTGACATGAAAATATCTGCAAGCAGCGGGCCGAGTGGTGAGCCCATAGCTATACCATCTTTTTGTCTATATATTTCATTATTGAAAGTGAATTGGACGTTTAGAGTACATCTTAATAGGAGTTCCTTCAAATAGTCAGTGGGGATACCAATGTTCATCTCCTTTGAATCAATATATTCACATATATAGCATATTGTTTCGGTTAGTGGGACGTTTGTAAACAGTGATACCACATCTAGTGAGAACATGGTTTGATTGGAAACGCTGACGTTTTCAATGGAATTGACAAAATCGAAGGAGTCTCGAAGTGAGTGGCGGGAGATTTGCTTTCTGACTGGTTCTAGTATGTTTACTAGCCATTGTGCGGTACTGTGATAAGGTGAATTAGTCATATCGAGAATGGGTCGAAGAGGTACGTTTTTCTTGTGCACTTTTGGTAGTCCATATAGCCGGGGTATATTTGAGCCCGACGGTTTCAACGATTCGAAGGTTTCGAGATTGATGAATGATTCAGTCTTTAGTTTTCGGAGAAGGTTCGTTAGTTTTTGTTCAGTTTGTTCCGTCATGTTCTTTTCCTTTGCTGGTTTTATGAATTTAGATTCGTCGGATAGGATGGTCAGCATTTTACTTACGTAGTCTTCACGATTCATGACTACGATTCCCCCACCTTTATCCGGGCGTAACAGAATAATCTCTTTGTTGTTTATTAATTCCTTGAGCTCTTTATAGTGTTTTTTGGTCAGTATTGACTTTCCATTTGGTTTGGTATTCATAAATTTATGGCAACTGTCGAGTACTACCGACCTGAACTGTTGCAGGCTCTCTTCGGAAGTTGGTGATAGATCATGTGTTTGGTTTATCAGGTTTTCGAACTGGACTTGGGATTGAAGTTTTTGGATTTTTGATGGTTTTGTGCAGAACTTTGGACCGAGGGACAGTGCTTCTAGTTGGAGTTCTGACAGCTCAATGTTTGACAGGTTAAATACGTATTTTTCTGGATTGCTTGGGAATGGACGTTCAGGGTCACTCGTCGGCTTCAGGCTTTTAATAAGGTTTGACTTGGCATTCTCACATTGTTTCTGTGAATCCCTTATTCTTACGCCAATATGTAACCAATAATAAGGTTATTACATACAAGGTTCCTGATAGTTTTCTGTCTTCCACTGAACAGCAAACGATGAGACGATGACTGGCGGATTGATGACTCTCGCGAAAATAGAGAGTTGGATTTGAGCAAACAACCAGGAATTGATCGTTCAATCTTCAAATACACTGACAACCAGGGAGTTAAAACCCTTATAGTGTCTCGACTAACATTTGGAACCGGAGAGAGAAGCTAATCGACAAAACTTCTAACTACACTAGGCAGTGCGAAACGCAGAAATCATGGTAATTCATCATGCGAGGTCGTAAACAAGTCCAAACGTCAGAAATAAGACATCTTAGACACGGCTGCTAAGAAGACGAATTTCGCACGGAGAAATGAGCGTATAACATCACAGTCTCAATTCCTAATAAATATTGATTTCAATGCCTAATCAATCAAGTCGGGAAGACTAGTACCTGGATCAGTGAACAACAACTTCTTACACAAGCTGATGGAATCTTTCACATACCATAAGCTCCTTTTCTACGCCACTCAAGCAACATGATTCATCAACTATGTACTTGGATTTCTTCTGCTTTGAATAGATGGACTTCTCGCGACTCCTTGTATCCTTAGGAAACGTTAATCATTCTGCGCTCAACACTAGATTCACTGCTTGTGCAGTGTCCCTGAGTACTATTACTGTCCGATCAAGTGTATTTGAAGTCAGTATTTAGGCCACTGTCAACGCAAATTCAGCAAGTAACTAGACTACGGATATGGATGCCCATATGAAGTCAAGATATTTCTCTCCTAGCAGCTATATTCTTCGGTAACTCAACTCTGTATCTCTCAAACTGTCCCTTTGCATTGAAGCAAATCAGAAGCACACTAAGAGCTCCACCTGTTGCTTCCCGGGAAACTGGAGGTTCACACCACAGATCTTGCAAATGCCGCCTTCAAGCTATCCTTCATGTGTGGAACGTCACCACTGGACTGTAATGGTGCAACAGCCGTTCGTATTCATAACGGAGGATCTTGCCATTATCGTTGAAACTGTATGTTTATCAATCCTATGATGACTAAAATTAAGGTACTGGGAAGAATAAGTAATAGAAATGACTGGTCTTGTCAGAAAAATAGTAAACTGTAATTGCTGTCTGTTAGAACTCACGACGAGGGAAATCTAGGTCTGTGTGTATCAATAGCCTTGCTTGAGTAGTTCTTACAGACCTTGGCAAAGTATTTGATAAAGCACCGTATTTCAGACTGCCGATGAGACCAGAGTGTTTTCAAATTACTGACAGCCAACTCACCTTACTAAAGCATCGTTTGCCGATAAGAAACAGAATGTAATAGTTCGTTCCATTCTCCGCAACTATGGGAAGATAAAAAAGAATATAAGGCTATCCATGAAAAAATAAAAACAGCAATAATATGAAGTTTCACACAATGTTAACTCCTCAGAAATTGTTAATTTTATTCTTGAAGTATTGTCATTCATCATCACAATCTCCAGAAACTAGTAGCATAGTATGTACGCAATTAGGTGAATACAGAGCATTTTTATGTCATTCTCCACTACCATTAAAATATTTCACAAATCAGAACAAGTGTAAACATTCATCACAGAATAAATTTATTATATGACGCAACCATGTGAATGGAAACGTGCAATCCTATCCCCTATCTTCAAGGGTGGTGACCGGCAGAATGTGACCAGTTACAGACCAGTTGCTCTACTTCCAGTGATATCGAAAATATTGGAAAGTCTCATTGACGACCACATGAGAAAATGCTTCGATGGGACTAACCTTCTTCACGAAGCACAGCACGGTTTCAGGAGGGGAAGATCCTGCGTGACGAATCTTCTACTAGCTTGGAACGATTGGACACTATCCTGGGACAAAAAGGTACCAGCCCACGTGATCTTTCTCGACTTTGCGAAAGCATTCGACACAGTTCACCATGGTCTGCTCCTTCACAAAATAGGCAAGGCGGGAGTTTCTGGAGCACTTCTCGCATGGCTGAAAGATTACCTAGGTGAGAGAGAATTCTGCACCAAAGTCAACCGCATCCGATCATCCTGGCACACCTCGGCATCAGGGGTTCCTCAGGGTTCTATCCTAGGGCCGTTGATGTTTTTGATTTTTATCAACGACCTGCCCTCCCAACTAAACTGCTCTGCGCTTCTTTACGCTGACGACGTAAAGATTTGGAGAGCAATAAACTCATCGGAAGACTCAGATAGATTGCAGGCTGACCTGCAAACTCTGGGAAATTGGGCTTTGGCTAACGGAATGCCTTTCAATCTAAAGAAGTGCAAAGTAGTGCAAGTTCATTCCGGCAGGTCACAGAGTGTAAATTACACCCTTGGTGGCCAGAACTTGAGTTGTGTTCCATCAGAGCGTGATCTAGGTCTTATTCTAACAGAAAAGCTAGACACCAGTGGAAATTACTCGAGGGACGTCGCCAAAGCCTACGCAACATTACACTTTATGCACAGGCAGCTGGGAGCTCTCACTCCCGAACTGTTCTTAAGGCTATACAAGGCATATGTGAGGCCACACCTTGAGGTGCATAATATCATTGCACCTCCGCTACTCAAAAGGGATGCTAACATTCTAGAAAGTGTCCAGAGACGAGCGACAAAATGGGTGATCGGCCTCCGCAACAAATCATATGAGGAACGACTAAAGAAATTAGGACTTTTCACACTTAGTTACCGTAGGCACAGGGGAGACCTCATCACCGTCTACCAGATCCTAAATGACCAGGCCCACCCAAATAAAAGCATCCTGCCATTAAGCGATTATAGGCTTCCACGAGGTAACCCGCTAAGGATAGCACACCAGAGACCAAAGACTCGAGTGCGATCACATTTCTTTTCGCTTCGTGTTTGCCGTCTCTGGAACGCTTTACCGGCGGCCGTGACTACAGCACCATCTCTGGAGATTTTTAAGCGGAAGCTAGACAATCATGCAGAAATGCAAGGTTTGTGTCTCAATGGCTTATCCTCATAAAATTTGAAACCACACTGTCAATTAATAAGCGTACAAACTAAATCCCCACGACCTATTCTGCCTTCTCTCACTCTATCTTTTCCTTAGGTCACCTTTATTATTCCACTTATCTCAACCTATATTATCTACACTACAACCTATTATTATTATTATATTATTACTATTCTGCTTTTATGACTACACCGAATGACCAACGGGAGTTAGGTCAAACTCCATTCACGGCAGCAATACAGTCCTAACATACTGCATACTACAAACCACATCTCGACCAATCCCCTCACCACTCCTCCTGGAGTCTACCAGAGCTAGAGCAGTCGAGTGTCGGGACTTACTACGCAGAAGCTCGCCGAAGATCTGGAACCTCTACCTCACAATCAAGAAGCGAGCTCAAAGAAATCACTGGTTTATACTAGTTCGTAATCAGGATATTGGATATTGGAACCATATCCCACCTCAGTGTCCAAGTTGTATTATTAAACCAAATGTGTGTTGATGACTCAATAAATTGTGTAATTACGTCGGATGCTATTGTCCTTAAAAAACATCACGTTTACCATATTAATGCTTTAAATCTACGTGAACAAATTATTATTGACATTGTGTGTTTGCACACATATAATTGAAGAATAGATTTGTAGGTCACCCTAAATACACGTCGTCGCGGTGATCTTGGATATCTGGTGATTTGTTGGTTTTCAAGTTTTCGTGAGTTGTTTGTGTTCATTTGTTAGAGCGTAAGAAATTTTAATGCGTCAGAGATTTAATGATACCATTCAAGGAAAGGAGTTTTGAGGTGTTTCTCAATAAAATGTTAAGGAATCCCGATCCAAAATGTCTGTTGTAACATTTACACTCTTCAGATAATTCACATTTGCTATTAACAGTCTGTGACCTATTAAATTACCAGCCCTTCCCAACGTTTTTCTATTCCCATATTTCCAGCGTTTTCAGCCTTCCAGCTAGCATTTTTTTCGGGCGCATTGCAGACTTTTTGGGGCAGACTTTGGGACACTGTCCCACGTAAGTAGGTCTACCCGAAGGTTTTGCCCCAAAAAGTCTGCAATGCGCCTGAAAATAATGCTAGCTGGGCTTATAAAGCAACTTTGGGGCATAAATGGAAAATACCGATATTTTGATGTATATCCCTAGAAGTTTTAAATGAATTTAACCCAGGATAACTACCTCCCCTGAAAATCACTATATAAGTTTTAACTTGGGATACTTGGGTCGACTGCTAAAAGTACTCGGGATTAATATCTAGCACGAATAGATCTAATAGATGGAATGTTAACTATCGATAGTTAACATTCCATCTGTTATCGTATCTGTTTTCTACTCATGTTCCCCTTCAGTCTACTTGATGATGAGAAGTACTTCGTTGTAACTTATAATATATCACGTATACATAACTATATTTATGTTTTTAAGTATGGGATAAGCCGAACAAGGAATTAAGGATCTACCTATTAAATATTCGAAGCAACTTCATGTCACACTTTCCCATCGGCCCGTTTATCGGTAATTGCATTTGCTGGTGCACTGTGTCTCGCAGATATTATTCACTGCGGAGACAAGTTCCATGAATGACGCATATACTGATGGCTGAAAAGCATAGGATCTGCTGATGGCTTTCAACCGGTTGACATCAATTGAAAGTGCTTAGCAACGCCCAGTATTCTGACTCTGAAGTCTCATACTGTGTGTCATAGGATCCGGTCAGGACGGAGCTGTGAAAAGACAATATTGATTATGCTATAGTGTGCTATAGGTCGCTGTAACCTAATGCAAACTAGTCAAACAAAAGTATCTGTCCTCAAAAAGGCGTGCTCTATTGGATCTCTTCAGCCGTCATAGTGAATCTGTAAACTAGGACTAAGCGAACATACATTATTATTCCCTTGGGTCCCGAGGGGAACATAGGGCTTCAATAACACATCTCCACCATCTTCTATTTTATGCTATCCTCTTCCTTTGGGCCCACGATCAACCATAATCTCATACCTTCTTCACACGATCTCCACCACGTCACCCTCGAACCCCACAACACGCTCGTCGTTTCCCATTTGGATTCCACTCAAGCGATGACCTTCATTGTGCAGGATGTCATTCGATGGTTTCTTCAGTCTATACTCTATCCATCTCCATTTTCTCCTACATATTTGTTGAGCAATCGGCTCTCAGTTGCTTTGTCGCCAGCCAGCCAGAGCTTCTTGTTGTTAGTTAATTCTGGCTTCCCATTTCATCTGCAGTATGGAATCACCGAATGAGGCTGTTGATGAAAGTCTGCAGTGGCCTGTTGGAAATCCTTTTCGTGTCACGAATAGGAGGACTGACTTGACATTAGTGTTGAAAATGTGAATCTTTTTCCTTATGCTGACTGAGTGTAGAAGACTTTCAAACTGTTTTCAGGTTAATGAAAGTATATCTTGCTTTTCCGATTCTGTCTGGCTTCGATATCTTCATCCGTTCCGACTGCCTTTGTTGAAACGATTCTGGCTGACTAGATAAGTGAAGGAGGTAACTTCTGTTAAATGTATCCCGTTCATGGTGATTGGTGCCCGCTGTTGTTGTGGGGGTGGTTGCGGTCCGTTGTTTACCTTCATCACCTCCGACTTCTCTACGTTCACCTGCAGTCCTGTCTTCGCTGCCAACATCCACAGCCAGTTTGTTGATTTTTGCCTGCATGTCTTCGAGTTTGTGTGACACTAGATATAAATCATCCACACGCGAAATCCAGATCTGCTGGAGTCTTCTTATTGGTCGTCCAGCGTATTCTTGTCTCCTAACTCCCGACTCACAGTCTGAAGTATAGTCTACTCCACCACAATTAAGAATACCATCGATGATAATATGCAGCCTTCCTTTTCCTAATCCTGTGATCTTCACTTCGAATACCTAGCTGAGTTTCCCGTTGTGGATCACCTGACACGTGCCACTGTCATATAACCAGCTGTTGCATGAAGTTGATAAAGACTTGGACACTGTACATCGTAGTGTTGAGGTAGTTTCCAAGTCGCTTCTCGGTCAACAGTGTCTGTCGAAGGCCTTTTCGAAGTCGATGAAGTTGAGGTGGAGTGAGGTTTGACTTCCATTCTATGCTTTGTTTGGTGATGACGATACGCAGAGTTGCAATTTAATCAGCACGTGATTTGACTTTCCTGAACCCAGCTTGTGTCAGGCGATTTGGCGGAGTTCTTTATCCAGTGCATCTTTTATTCTCTCCACCATGACGCGACTTAGTACTTCACTTGGCGTGGACAAGAGCATTATTCGACACCAGTCCTTACAGAGTGAGACCAGAGTCGCTCTTCTTTGTTAGCTTGACAAGATAGTCAGCCTTTCTTCCAATCAGTAGGCTCCTTCCCTTCCTCCCAAACCTTCTGTAATAACGGCGTCATCATATCTACCACAGTCTCTGGGTCCGTTTGCAGTTCTTCAAAGGGATTCCATCTGGTCGTGCTGCCTTACCGACTGAACTTCAGTAGCTTAATCACATTTAAGATTTCCGCTTTCGTTGGAGGATTAGTTTCCACTGTCAGGCAGTTCTGTCCGTGTTGTTTGTGGTACGGGTATTTCTGGACGAGTTGGGGGTGGTGGTCGATTCAAGAGTCCTTTGAAGTGATCATCCCATTGTTTACTTTGTTTCTCCCTTGGGCATCTTTTATAAGTTTCACCTGCGTTGATCTCTTCCTGAATAGAGACCTGGTTATCTGATATTGTGTTCTGAGGTCTCTTTTAAGTGTTCTGCTTCAGTTGCCTCCCAGTGTGTTGTAGAATCGTCCTCTACTTCACTTCTTTATTCACTGCAGTGTACACTGAATTCAGCTGCTTCTCCTTCTCTTGGCCATCTTTGCATCGAGTCATACTGTCTTTCACCAATCTCCTCTTTTCTATTAGCTTCCTGGTCGGTGTCAGTTGAGAGTCATTCCTTGTCTTGTCTCTTCTGTCTTCCTAGAACAGTTGTACACGTTTCCTTGAGCATCACCTTCAGAGAGTTAGTTCCAATGTTCTTCCCCGCAATGTCTCCGACCTTGCTCTGACCTCTAGTGAAGATATCTATTGTGGCTTTGTCCTTCAGTTTCCGAGTGTTGAACTGGAATTGTGGCCTATCTTCAGTTGTCCTGAAGGGATTCAGCTTCACCTTGAGCTAGATGATGGTCTGAGCCCACATCTGCTCGCCTTTGTGTCCAGTAGACTGACTGAGTCTCCACTTCCTTGAGCGACACTGAAATGAAATCTATCTGGATTTTGGTGTGTCCTTCAGGTGAAATCCATGTCGTCATGTGTATATTCTTGCTCATGTTGCCTCCGATAGCCAAACCTTTGAAAGCGCGGAAGTCTCCGAAGAGTTTTCTGTTGTTACGATTACTTTCAGAAAACGTGGTTTCATTACAGTCATTTCGAACGATTTTTTGCTGATCGGTACTGTAAATGAACCAGTCCTTATCATCAAGATCCCAAAATTATGTACTGATATTAGTTTAAGTAATCTTTGTCGTACATCTTCGTCCACCACATTGTCGTTACCTTTCTTTCCTCTGAATTTCACTGTACTCCAGAAGGTAGCAACTTGAACTGGTACAACCTTATATAGTTCTACTTTTTTGAGTCGTTCAGTCACGTCTACGTTTCACAGACAATTTTCCTACCATAGTTACAGACTTTAGTCTTCATGTAAGAGGTGTTAACAATGACGAATAATACAATGCTACTGGTCTTTAACATTCTACGTAAATCTATATCTGCTTATGACTAATTTTTGTTTACATTTACTATTTATTTATAGATTCTAAGGATGCAGTATTTATTCAAATATTCTATCGTATTTATCATTTTCTCACTTGAATTTCTCCTGGGTAAAAGTGACGATAAGCGAAATTATTACGAAATCCTTGGATTAACTAAATCTGCTTCAACAAGTGACATCAAAAAGGCCTTTCGCAAACTTGCAGTAAAATACCACCCTGATAAAAATAAAGATAAGAATGCACAAGAAGAGTTTGTAAAAATTGCTGAAGGTAAGCTGTACTGTTGTGTTGTTACGACAACTCATGTACTGTACTTTTACTGTTAGATGACTTATGCATGATCTTCCTCACTTAGTTAACGGCTCCAGGTAGTCAGGTTTTTAATTATTTGCTCAGCTGCTATCTTAACGTCTGTTTGCCTAATACTGTAGCTTAAAGAATAACAGTCATTTAGTACAGTTCGTCGAGGTCTTATTATAGCAGCGATGTTAATTAAGTGGGTTAGGCACTGAAAGCAACTGTTATCTAGATTGAAAGTGTAATGGCAGGTTGAAAACAAATATAAGCACTTCTAGCTAGTTGCGAATATGTTAATATTTAAAAGTTTCTCTCGAATGATTGGCATGTCAACTGCACTTCTTCACCTTCCAAAGTAAGAGTTAATGATATTACTCTGAAAATTGTTTTTCCGCTTGACGAACAACTTGTTACCTTGTATTTTAAGGTTCAGGAAACGAATCTAGCTCAATAAAGATCAGTAAAACTGTGGCTTAGATATCTGAGCCGTTTCTGCACTATATCCAAATGACGTTTCTAAGTGTCGCGTCTTTCTGCCTACTACATGAATCGAGACTTTGATGCCTAGCTTAACTTAAAATATGCTCGTCATTATATAACACTTATTTAACCTGGTTTTTATAAAGTTGGGATGTAATTGGACTAGACAGCCTAAGCGATTCGGTTTCAGCATCAATGAATGATTCAGTTTTTAGTTTTCGGAAACTATCTGTTAGTTTTTGTTTAGTTTGCTCCGTCATATTCTTTTCATTGGACCTTAAAGTCCAATTCTCTTTTAGTAACGAAATGTACCGACAAAAGGATGGTATAGCTATCGGCTCACTAATTGGCCAGTCGCTTGCAGACTTTTTCATGTCAAAACTAGAAGACATACATATAAAAAAATGGTTGACAACTTTAGGTTTTACAAGAGAATCGTGGACGACACTTTCATTATCTCCACCAATGAGGAGAATTTGGAGAACATCTTGAACCCCCTCAGCAGCTGTCGTCCAGCAATTCAGTACACACTAGAGAAGGAATTCGACACAAAATTATCCTTTCTGGACGTCCAATTAACAAGACGTGAAAAAAATGGAACACTAAAAAAATCTATCTACAGAAAGCCGACATGAAACGGACAACTTATTAACTTTCATAGTTGGGTGCCCCTATATACAAAACGAAACTTGATCCGTTCATTGAGCTACATAATTCGCAGCATTTGCAGCCCTGATAATATAGAAGAGGAGTTAAACATTCTGAAGAGAATCCTCCGAGAAAATGGCTACACAGAACGTTTTATCACAAAAGCCGCCCACACTCTCTGCTTCCAAGAAACTTCTTTGCCTGGATCTGCAATTCAGTGGAGACTCATGGGCAGAAATACTGAAAAACTGCCTGTCCCGCCCACTGAACAAAACCTTCTTCGTGGCTAAACTCCAACTAACCTTCCCTACGAAACCAATGATTCGCATGAACGTGAAGTATAAACTACCACTGTTGGCCTCATCAATATGCACCTACCAATGCTCGTGTAGAGCTAGATATGTCGGCCGTGCCCAGCGTTTGCTATCCAAACGTATCACCGAACATTTACCCTCATGGTTTTATAAAGTAGAAAAAAGGCCCTCCAGAAGCTTTATTCTGGCACACCTGGTAGAATCAGGACACCAAGCAAACCCACAAAACAACTTCAAAGTTATCTACAGAATACATGGCAATCTTGTTGAAAGAGTACGAATCAGACTTCTTCAAACTGCAGAAGCAATGGCAATTCACATGTTAAATCCTGAACTCTGCATACAAAAGAAGTTTGCTCAGTCATTAAATCTACAGTGAACGTGACTTATCATCAAATACGTAATTTTGTTTCGTCTTTTTCCTGCTTATTTGTTTCTTAATTGTATTATTTTCTTCCCCCACCCCTTATTACGCAACTTTCGTTCAATTTTAATTTTAGTTGAGCACTACTCAACCCCGTCAGTTATATTATGTCGCTCAACCTGGTTATTTAATCTTATTTTAGTTTCTAACCTATTGATGGAATTCGTTATCTAAAAGTTACAATTCTAATGACACATCCTTGGGAATATTCCTTTTGTTGCTAAGACAGTTTATTATATATACACGTGATTGTACATTTTGAGAATAATTGTAAGTCTGCTTTCGTGAAAGCTAACAGTGATCTTATTAATTTATTTTAGAACATGTTAGTCATGGTTTCAGGTTACAATTGTGGGCTACTAGTTCTTACGTCTGTATAATTGGGAAAGTATTACTTCAATTAACTTATCATTGGTAATTAAGTTATTGTCATTAACGTATGCACAAATATGGGCTCTCAACCAATCAGTATTTCTACTATTTACTTAATTTCCCTAAACCAATGAATGATTAAGAATATACAATGAATTGAATAGAATTTCTGTTCAAATAGAAGACTGTAGAGTATGTGCCAAAAGCTGTGAAAATAAAAACAAACATATTGACCAGTTATCTGTCGGTTTAGTTGATGATCGTAATTAGTATGAAATAAATTTTGACTGATCTATATCTGAACCTACTTAGGAAACCGTTACTTGAGGTCCGTGATAGTTTCGGTCCTCTGGACTGGTATCATTGCAAAGTGTCCATGTTCAAAATTAAAATGAAGTCCTGGTCGGCAGCAGAATTCTAACCAGTCTTATTTAGCTTTCCTGCTTATTTCATTGTCTAGTGATATACTTAAGCAAGCTACTCACTTTGGCAAAGCATTAAGCTAGCAACCTAAAGATCCCTGTCATTTGAAACGGACTTTTTATTGCAAATTATTATTGTTTAACCTTATGCTTAATTCATTTCAGCTTATGATGTACTGTCTGATGAAGAAAAACGCAAGCAGTACGATAGTGTTGGGCATGGGTTTTACACACAACAGTCTGGTGGTGGTGGCGCTCCAGATTTCGACTTTAATAGCTTCTTTCACAACTTTGATATGTTTCGTCAACACAGACGTACTGATGGCTTTGGTGGCGGTTCATTCTTTAACTTCCACGATTTATTTGAAGATGACGACGACAATATATTCTCATCATTTGGTAGTATGTTCCAGGCATCTGATGACTCTGGTGGGCACAAGCGTCGGGGTAGGTTTTTCAAAAACCGTAGTTATCGTTTTTCTCTTGAAATTATAGTAGGGATATAAGATACAAATCTTTGGATGTCACCTATAAATTCTGGCTGAGAAACACTAAAGCTCCACATAGTTAGATATTATTAGATATTAGATATATTGCATCCCTTTAAGTTACGAGGTTTTCTGTGCATAGACAGAATTAGGAATGTCGAACATGAATGTAATTGAAGAGGTTGCAAGTGAATTTCACTTGTCTGGATTTGAGGATTTAATTGCTTGCAAAATAAATTTGACAAATAACCTATACCAAGTGGAAACAAACATGAAGTGGTTGTAAGTGTTCTTTTGTTTTGTTACGCGGTAATAAAATATATCTTGAAGAGTACTACTCGTCGCTATTTTCTTTCAGGTCCTAATCACTGAACCTTTTTTTTCTCATGCGGTTCAACCTAAGATAAAGACTACTATTAATCTGTAAAAATCGCTCTACATAAAAAGAATGGAATCTCAATGTTTTTTAGACGCATTGATTAGTTTGGCGACAGCTAACCTAGATGATCTGTATTTCGTTGATGATTAATCATCGTCCTATAGTTAATATGACATTGTCCTTCTTTAAGATTGACTAGACTCATAATAATCTGTTAGCTTAAGCCTAAGCTACCAACTAATTGGCCCCGGGTTTGAATCCTGTTTCGATTACATCAACCTAAACGACTTGATGATACTATCATAAGCCCATACACACACAATAAGTGTGATTCATGGCCCTCGTAAATGAAAAATCTGTTCTGGGTATTTCTGTTCAAATCAAAACAAATTACTTTTACATGAATAAAACTTATCTAGACAAAGAAATTGTTAAAACTCGTCTGTCTGTACCAACTAACCAGCCTATGTATCTTAGGTCATCGCTTAGCTATCCTTCACCATAATTCTTCTTGAACCCGTTTTTGTTTTGTAAATTTTGAACTGAATAATTGATATACCTAGCTCTAAGGGTATAAAAAGGAAAATTGAAGAAAAAATGTTTTCTCAATAAATTCCTCATCTGACTCTGCAGTTATTATCCATAATAGTTAGAGGGCAATTATTGTCGACAACACCATTTTTAGAAAAATATTAAGCTGTTAATATCAATAGAATTATAGTTCCGAAGCATGCGTAAGTGCTAAAAAGGATAAAAATGCAATAGTGAACTGAATACCAGACAAAATTAAAAAATTTGCACAATAATTAAAGATAGTTAGAACAATAATGGCAGAGGTAGGGAAGGTGTCTTCATTTGTCTACCTGGAAAGCATCGTTTCAACTACAGGCAGAACTGATGAGGATATCAAAGCGAAGATCGGGAAAGCAAGGCAAGCTCAAGTCTGTATGGAAATCAACAGCACTCAGCATGAAAAGTAAGATCCGGATTTTCAACTCCAATATGTAGTTAGTGCCACTATACGGATCAGTCTTCACTCAGTACTCAAGATCAGATGGCCAGGAAAGATCAGCGACAGGGATCTCTGGAAGCGAACTAACCAAGAACCAATTGTGAAACAAATATGCAGGAAGAAATGGAGGTGGGTTGGCCATACTCTGAGAAAACCATCAAGTGACATAAGATGCCAGGCTCTCGAGTGGAACCCGAATGGTAAGTGACGAATTGGTCGTCTGAGGATGGCATGAAGGAGGTCATGCAAAAAGACGAAAGCATGTCAGCAGACGTGGAGCGAGGTAAAAACGTTGGCGGTGAAGCGAACGCAATGGAGACGTGCGGCTGAAGCCCTACGTTCCTCTGGGAACTAAAGGACAAAATAATAGTAATAAAGGAAGGTGTCTTAACGCGTAATTTAGGCATCTTAAGATTGATTCCGATGGCTTCAGCTACATGTAAAGGACGAACTCTTAAGGCGATACTGGGATTAGTCGGAATACGGTAGATAGCTTTAAAATCCTTGTTAATATCGATTTTGTGTTTACTATTTACAACATGAGTTAAAACAAAGCTTTGAATAGACCTTGTTTGTCCGTTGCTTAGTCATATAGCATAATGCTCTAAAATCCAACGATGAACATTCCTAATTATGAGCCCAATGTAACTGGTTCCACAGGAGCAATCAAAGTGGTAGATACACATAAAGGAGGCGAATTTAGGTAGTTTAACCCTAACTCCCAAATGTAAAATTGGGTTGGTTGTAAACAAACAGTGAACTTCTGCTTCGTTAAATACTCTTTTTTTACTGCATTATCTGTTTGTGTGTAGAAATTCTCTTTTACAATATCAAACATTTGTTGATTTTCTCCTTACAGGTCAACAAACATGTCACACTGAAACTATAAGAAGAGGTAATACAGTGATTACTCGAACACATTGCTCTTAAATTCTTCCCTAACATCCTGGTGAGATTCATTTACACATGTTGTGAAATATCTAAACTGTTTTTTAACCAGATGAAACACTCGCCTATTCATCATTTTTGTTTTATGAAATCCTGACTATGATATCACTTCCTTTTTTCATGTACAGTCTGTGATCATCATCTATTTAATTCACTGCACAATGTACATAGGAGTGTTTTGTTTGGGTTTGTTCAGCTGACGCTGGTTCATATATATTGAATATTTTTGTGTTTAACAAATAATATGAGTGAAGTTTTTTTTAAAAAGAGAGAAGTTTTACACCTTCGCTTTGTTCACTGCTTAAAATAATTGGTTGCTGACAACAAATGTATGGTCAAGTGGGATGTATGTATGTATGAATGTCCACCTGATGTAATATTACGACTAATTTACCGTTGTCTTTCTTCTTTTGGTTAATTCATAATTTTTAAAAGAAACGCAAATATAGTTCCTACCTTTTTTGTCTTCCTTATGTTTGCATTGCTGGGAAGGTAATATATCCCGAATTTACATGAATTAAAATTATTGGACTATTGATTGCTTTCCCAGTGACTGAATCGTCAGCCAGCCCTCCTTGTAACCTGAACGTCCTGGGTTCGATCCCTGGCGGTGGGGTCATGCGCGCATACTACCGAAGATTGTCAAATAAGGATGAGATAGCTGTCCACTAACCCGTGCTGGCTTTTAACGATTCTCTAAATGACGTCATTTCGTGACCCAACTTAAAATAATCGTAAATACAACGTAGGAGTTTTGAAATTTTAACCGCTGGTTTATTTTTCAGATGCTAATTTTGCGATTTCAATATAAACTGACTAACAAGCTACATCAATCAGAGAAAGCCATTAAGACGCAGGATCGCTGGTTCAGTTTTGGAACTTGTCAGGAGTGTACAGTCATGGTTGTGTGAGGTAACTAGTTGAAACCCGTCAAGTTTTGAGAGAAACACATCACCATATGAGGTCATTAAGTCTGAATCCAGTGACGCATGATTTTCAGTTCCTGCAAATTCTCGATGTCGTACCAATGAAGCTGTAATAAATGCAGATCATATCTTTGTTATGAAGTAATAATCTTAAAGCAGGTGACTATGTTGACCACTTCACTTATTTGGGAAGTTGCATCAACCCCAATGGGGGGTTGATCACCGAAGAAATCTCAGCACGGATACAGAAGGCTCGTTTCACATATGCCAGTTTACACCGTCTTTGGCTTAGGCGTGATATTCGGCTATCGACCAAAGGGTGTGTGTGTGTACTGCTCAGCATTCCTCACTGCCCTTCTTTATGAATGTGAGACCTTGCAATTGAAATTGGAAGACATGAAAAGCTTAGCTGTCTTTGACCATAGGTGCCTGCTCTCTATCTCCCTTGTGAAGTGGTATAATAGGGTGAGTAATATTGAGGTTAGGCCTCAGTCGAGTGCTAGGTAAGGAGGGGGAATCAGTAGCCGAGGCTGTAAAGCTACATCGACTGAGATGGTTCGGATATGTGTTGTGTATACCTAGTCATCGCCTTCCTCGAATGGCAATGTTAGCTGACATACAATCAGGTTGGAAAAGAGCCAGTGGTGGTCAAACCAAAACATGGTATCAGTCAATGTAATCCACAACAGTTAGTTTAAGCCAGTCACGTAGGAAGGTGTAGACTTCCTGGTCGGGGTCCTCGGGACGGTAAAAACCAATGGCTGGAGACGATTGGTGATATGGCTCAAAATGGTTCTCAATGGCTGGTGCGGATGCATCCAATCCTTGTGAATTACAATATCCAATGAAACTATATTGTTCTTCGATATTAGTATTCTTTTCGCCCTATATCTCTGTTTACTGTCTCTACTTTGCATTTCTTTTTACTTTTCTTGCTTTCTGTGCTACTTGGAATGTAGCGACCCGAAATGCTGCACTTCGGTGCAAAGTTCTGTGTTGGAACCAGTGAGTCAGTCAAGTGACTGAATTGATCAGATGCAAGCAGTATAATACAGTACACTGTGGATCGAGTTATACATATTCGAGACCAAATATGTTGATTACCTGTGCTCTAATTATAATAATTTCCAACACTGAAAGTGAGCAATTATCCATAAGACTGACAGAGTCGTTACATACTCTTTTTCACTACTTACTCAATAAAGCGATATCGCCGTCTATCCCAGAACGGAATAAAAATAAGACTGGTTTCAGTTGTTTTTTTCAAATGAAGATTAGGCGTATAATAAATCTGGAGATTTAGCAGTGCAGTAGAGACTCAGTCTTGATCTGGAAAAATTAACAGGTCCCGAAAGCTATAAATTGACATCGAGAACTCCAGTGAATCACAATTTCATAAGAATGAACTCTTGGATAGTGATTACTCTCCAGTAGGTTTTAAATTTCCAAGTGTTCTATTTTCAAACGGTTGCTTCTAGTGGGATAAAGCAGAATAGGATAAATCAGTTTCTAAACAACCAATTAAGATATGTAGTACTAATAAAAGATTTCTGAGCTGCCAATAAAACATTAAAAGCATATCAAGGTAATCCATTTTATTCTCTACTATCTGAAGCCAATCTCGGCCAGTTTTCTAGTCGATCCCGATCCCTGGAAAAGAGAAAGGGTTGGGCATAGAGATAGCGACCCTACCCCATTAAACCAGTCAAACTGCTGCAGAAACTTCAACGCACAAGAAAAATATAAAAAGCGAACTTATTCTTCGCTGAAATCGGAGAGGAGAAATAACACATCAGGCTGGTGAAAGCCTTCGAGAAGCCAGTCAGCCGATGTGTCTTTTTCCGATTAAAAAGGGCGTGGAATGTACGAGGCTGCTCAGGTAGCCAAAGATATGGTATCGAAGTGCTCAGTTTCTGAGAGAGCAGGTGCAATGGATGTGGAGAATCGAAATTGCCAGCCGGATAGTGAGTAATCTACTCAGGCGACAAAAACGAACACACTGAGGCAGTGAGTGGCAGCCAAGCCCTGTGGGAACCAATCTCCTCCTCCAAGATTATGACAGCAAGATTCAACCAAAAAGGAAAGAAGCTTACATCTATCAAGTGCTACAAACAATGCGGAACAAGAGAAGAAGGAAGATTTTTATAGACAACTACAAACAGAAGTGGACAACATCCCTAATGGAGACATTGAAATCCTATGGGAGATATGAACGTCAACCGAAATAGGAGCAGATAATACAGGAAGAGAACTCATCATGGGTCGAGAGGCTCTCGCACGGTGAAATGAATGACAACCAAGAACTCTTCGGAGACTTCCGCGCTTTCAAAGGTTTGGCTATCGGAGGCAACATGAACAAGAATATACACATGACGACATGGATTTCACCTGAGGGACACACCAAAATCCAGATAGATTTCATTTCAGTGTCGCTCAAGGAAGTGGAGACTCAGTCAGTCTACTGGACACAAAGGCGAGCAGATGTGGGCTCAGACCATCATCTAGCTCAAGGTGAAGCTGAATCCCTTCAGGACAACTGAAGATAGGCCACAATTCCAGTTCAACACTCGGAAACTGAAGGACAAAGCCACAATAGATATCTTCACTAGAGGTCAGAGCAAGGTCGGAGACATTGCGGGGAAGAACATTGGAACTAACTCTCTGAAGGTGATGCTCAAGGAAACGTGTACAACTGTTCTAGGAAGACAGAAGAGACAAGACAAGGAATGACTCTCAACGGACACCGACCAGGAAGCTAATAGAAAAGAGGAGGTTGGTGAAAGACAATATGACTCAATGCAAAGATGGCCAAGAGAAGGAGAAGCAGCTGAATTCAGTGTACACTGCAGTGAATAAAGAAGTGAAGTAGAGGACGATTCTACAACACACTGGGAGGCAACTGAAGCAGAACACTTAAAAGAGACCTCAGAACACAATATCAGATAACCAGGTCTCTATTCAGGAAGAGATCAACGCAGGTGAAACTTATAAAAGATGCTCAAGGGAGAAACAAAGTAAACAATGGGATGATCACTTCAAAGGACTCTTGAATCGACCACCACCCCCAACTCGCCCAGAAATACTCGTACCACAAACAACACGGACAGAACTGCCTGTCAGTGGAAACTAATCCTCCAACGAAAGCGGAAATCTTAAATGTGATTAAGCTACTGAAGTTCAGTCGGTAAGGCAGCACGGCCAGATGGAATCCCTTCGAAGAACTGCAAACGGACCCAGAGACTGTGGTAGATATGATGACGCCGTTATTACAGAAGGTTTGGGAGGAAGGAAAGGAGCCTACTGATTGGAAGAAAGGCTGACTATCTTGTCAAGCTAACAAAGAAGAGCGACTCTGGTCTCACTCTGTAAGGACTGGTGTCGAATAATGCTCTTGTCCACGCCAAGTGAAGTACTAAGTCGCGTCATGGTGGAGAGAATAAAAGATGCACTGGATAAAGAACTCCGCCAAATCGCCTGACACAAGCTGGGTTCAGGAAAGTCAAATCACGTGCTGATTAAATTGCAACTCTGCGTATCGTCATCACCAAACAAAGCATAGAATGGAAGTCAAACCTCACTCCACCTCAACTTCATCGACTTCGAAAAGGCCTTCGACAGACACTGTTGACCGAGAAGCGACTTGGAAACTACCTCAACACTACGATGTACAGTGTCCAAGCCTTTATCAACTTCATGCAACAGCTGGTTATATGACAGTGGCACGTGTCAGGTGATCCACAACGGGAAACTCAGCTAGGTATTCGAAGTGAAGATCACAGGATTAGGAAAAGGAAGACTGCCTATTATCACCGATGATATTCATATGAAGAGGGAATAGAATCTGTAGTCAGTCGTGGAGCGAAATGAGAGGCAGAGGACGGAGTGCAGTGGAGATGTGCCGCCGAGCCCTGTGCTCCACTTAGAACGTAAGGAATAAATAATGATATGAAATGTCTAAAAGAAAGCCAATAAACGGAGTTGTACTTACTGAATACTTAAACATCAGCTGTCAAAATACATACAGTGGGTCAAGAGGGAAGAACTCTCTGTATAAAC